CTACTGGAGAGAGTCCAGCGGAGGGCTACAAAGAGGATGAGGGGACTGGAGCATCTCTCCTCTGAAGAAAGGCTGCGAGAGCTGGGCCTGTGTAGCCTGGAGAAGAGAAGACTGAGAGGCGATCTCATCAATGTGTACAAGCATCTGAAGGGAGGGTGTCGAGAGGATGGGGCCAGACTCTTCTCCGTGGTGCCCAGCGACAGGACAAGAGGCAACGGGCAGAAACTGAAACACAGGAAGTTCTGTCCGAACATGAGGAAAAACTTCTTCACTGTGAGGGTGACAGAGCACTGGAACAGGTTGCCCAGAGAGGTAGTGGAGTCTCCTTCCCTGGAGATATTAAAAAACCATCTGGACACAATCCTGGCTAATGTGTTCCAGGTGACTCTGCTTGAGTAGCAGGGTTGGACTAGACGATCTCCAAGGGTCCCTTCCAGCCTCAACCATTCTGTAAATGTAATCACTTCTAAAAATGAATCCATCACAACTTGGTGTTTAAACTTCAAAAACTTACACAGTTGCTATACAGCAAGCAAGCGCCCACAGTAGTTTGCCTGTTGCTACTGTGCTTATTTGTAACAATTTCTTTAGGATTAATTTTATGCAACTGTAAACATATTTTTTGCCCAAGTGAGATGATATTTTACCTGTGCACATAATGCAGCTCATGTATGGAATGTATAGCAAGCACCATTTCACCAATGTAGAACCTAGCCATATCTTCAGGAAGCTTGTCTTCAAACTTACTGAGAAGTGTCAGTAAGTCACCACCAACATAGTAGTCCATCACTAGATACTGAAAAGGGAAAAACGAAGCAGTGAAGTACTGACAAACAGGTGGTTAAAAAAAAACCAAAACACTAAAGTTCATCGGTTAGCGCTGAATAAAACGTTTCACCAAATTTTTTTCTAAGCATGGGGAAAGTAGTCAAAATTGGTCATCTTTATTGTTACTTTTATTTGCTTATTTACAGTAAATTCATATAACATTCCTTTAATAATCATAGTAAAGATGATAAATTAACACAGTTTCTTATAAATAAAAAATTAAGATATGGCAGCAGCAGTAAAAAAAGTAAATGAAGTTCAGTTTATTTCTGTCTTAGCTAGTGTCAAAGACAAAAGTCAATCTATTTTGTTCACCAAAACAAAATGCAGGAAATGCACGTTATTAATCCTTAAACTGAAAATTTCTAGAGGGGACAGGAAGAAAATAAACTAGTTAAAAAATATGAATCTATTTTAGAGCTACATTTCTCATTAACAGGAAATACTTGATACAACCTATAGAAGAGAATACTTTCTGAACGAGAAACAGTGAGGATTAATGTTTTAACTTATTTTAGGCAAGTGGCTTCTTGCCTGATTTGCATATCTATTTGCAGATGGTAAATTTTTGAGAAGCAGCACATACTTAAAAGTAGGATACTTGTATTATGCTAAAGCATTTGCTGAGGGAAACATTTCTCTTCGCAGATGCAAGGAGCAACAATCCAAGCTTCCTCTGAACAGTATTTTGATTAAAATTTCACTGAAAACTCTTCTGGAAGAAAATGAGTATTTATTAGACTGATCTAACTTAGTCTAAAGAGTAACATTTCATTACCACAACTAATTTTGGTACCACTTTATTATCGTTAGTGATTCCAAAAGTGGGACTTATCACATCGACATGTTCAACACATCCATCTTGGCACACGCCACTTGGTGGTTAGGTAGCACAACTAGCAGGAGGTTGATGACACCATACCTTAGGGATGCCCCTGATGATCCAGAAGCACTGTCAAGCCAAAGGCACTATGGGGGCGGGGGGTGACATTGTATTGCAGTTGCCTCTTAGCAATACCACTGAATTTCAGACCATGACTACAAGTATAATGACATTATATCCTACTACCAGTCTTGAGCTATTCTGTTTCATGCTTCCCAAGATGCTTTGATATATGATTTTAGCAGCAACCTTGCTTATTCTGGAAATAACTTTCCAAAGCAGTTATCCAATTTTTCACAGATTCATCTTTGAAAAGGAAAGCAAGTTAAAGACACTAGGAACCAAAGGAAGATAAAGTGCAATGCTAATCATTTCCTTGCTATCTTGTGGCTTAAAAAGACTCCAAAAGGCATGTATTTTTATTATTCTTCTCCATACACTTATAATTATAGCTTAATCTATAGACAAATTTCTTCATTTATGCTGAAATCAACCAGTATTGCACAACCCATCAAGAACTTAACATTTGTTAGCACACTGTATACACACAGGAATTATGTTTGAAATGAGAAGCTGCAGACAGGAACTAGTCACGTTTCAAAAGAGATACTGTATTATGGTATTTTCTCTCAAACTCAAGGTTAAAAGAGCTTACAGAATCTTCTGTGGGAGTTGAAATATACTGCCTGTCAAAGAGACGAGGTAAATCAGTTCTCAGCTCCCATAGTGTTTGTAACTCACTGAAAACTTGGCTGACCCGTGAGGTGAGGCACTTGAATTAGGAAAAGATGGTGAGACCTCTCCTATAGGAAAGTCAAACTTTATTCATCCTTCTCTTTATGATGATCTCCTTGCAAGGAGAAACTTTTCCCATCATGTGGGGTTAAAAGAAAGGGTATTATGACACTTAAATCTAGAGGTGTTGCATTTCTTCCTGAGAAGTGGCTACATCCAATGGGGGGAGAGGTGTTGGAAATCAAAGGGGAAAAAAAAAAAAAAAACAAATCAACATACCCTCTGCATACTCAGGACTCTTTAAGAGGCTGGCAGCACACAGAAACACACACATGCCATTATTTATGAATGAGGACAGGAAAGAAATTTTTCTCCATGATAGAATTTCTGTTAAATAACAAGAAAACTAAGAGACTTGAATCTGGGAGAAATTAAGAACTTCACATCTTATCTGTGTTTCTAATATCCATGGACTATGTTTTAACTGCTTTACATCTACTTCAGTAAAAGAGTCCAATGCTTGCTCAGTCCAGCTTGACTCAAACTTCCCTACAAAAACCTTTCAGAAGAACCAGGAAAGGTCATGCTAGCATTTCCAGGTAGTATCATTTAAGAGCCAGCTGTTTAGAAAACATCAACACCACGTGACAGGTTTGCCCCTCAAACACTTAGAAACTACAAGAATAGGATGTGTAGACACTTGTTAGCCCCCCCCACCTCCTCTTCAGACAAGTTGTGGAAGAAATGGCTGCAGAAATGTCTCTTCAACTACACTAATACTGGACAGTTTCATTGTACTTCAAAAAGGTCTGGGAACTGCTGAGTAAGTACATTTCCCCCTTCCTCCCTACACAAGGTCCATACAATCCTCAAAACTTGCTGCCTACAATTTGGAAATACTGGAAAACAGGATCACTGTAAATAACTTAAAGGTTTTATGCAAAAACCAGAATTCCTCCTTTTTTAAAATAATTATTTTACTAAGTGCAATATTTCATGTACCAGGATTTCATTAATTTTCAAAAAAAATCAAAGTGAAATAGTAGAATCATCAAATTTCATCCCTCTCATCAGCAAAAATTCTTGCTTAAAGTTTTCTACTAAGACATCATTTCTCCTTTTTGTGTATAGCTGCAAAATTGTTCCAATGTGACAAAAAATACTGAATTGCTTTTAGCAGTAGAACAGCCTTTAAGTATTCATTTTGCACTAAATACAATACCTGACAAATGATCGAAATGCAGTGCTAGAACCAGCCTATATTGTCAGAATTACTGTTGCACACATGCAATTTTTTTTTAAATAACAAAGCATTTTAAATACAACCTTAAAAAATTCACTGGAAAAGGAAACACTAGAACGTCTACGTTTTGTAGAATTTTGTGTTTTGTGCTTATATTTAAGTTCTACAGCATCACATGCTCCATTAATACTAAATAAAGGGAGTAAAAACCCCAGTTATTTCTAGATTCTGTGACGTCAGCTACTACTTGTCTACCTGAACATCTTATCTTCTCTTTATCCAAGTGTCTCATTAGGAAGTCTTTCATTATGCAGCCAAATCCCTCAGTGTGCAAAGACACCAACGTTCTGGGTCTGCTTCAGGGTTAGCTGATACCGTTTTGCATTTAAGAAACATTACCTACAACGTGCAGAGATCACTGGGAGCAGATACTAGAACCTAGAGCTTTCTCCTCCAGAGGAGCGATGTCCTCTTCAGGCTGCAGAACCAAGCTCGGCTACCTGTTCTCCTCCTGCTCTTAGCTGTACGTTCCATTCTACGGGATAACCCAGGATCAGCAGCAAAGCTGAAAAGTAAACCAACCTGCTCGGGGTCTATAACATGGCAGCACTTTCCTGAGATGTGGAAGACTGGCTACGAACTTCTTCAAGCTGAGCAGAGAACTGAACAGAGATCTTTTACTCCCTGGACAAGTGATCTGACCAGTAAAATACTATGGAAGAGACCCTCCTCTCCAAGTTTCTAAATGAAAGCCACTTCCTGATGTTTTGTCAACACCATTTTTGCTTCATGCATCATTTATAATAGTGTGCATGAGATGCAGATACACTTCATCTGTGAGTACCAGACATTTACAAGAGAGAAATGCTGAGTAACAGTTGAAAACAGAAGGCAGCCTCTCAGCAAACGCAGTAGCAGAACTCAGGCAAGCTGGCAACCTGCTAACTTTGGCTGCTAGGCAGTTGTTGGGTTCTTAGATACTGGATCTTAAATTTGATGTTAGATGTCTAAATTCTGCTGTCAGGTGAAACTTCAACATCTACACGCCTGTGGGAACTTGGGGTGTATAACTTGCTCAGCACAGATTTTCACAAAATGGTCTTAGTGACATAGATCCCTTCTCTATATTGTTACTACTACTGCTTACTGTAACTACAGCTAAAAATTTTACATTTTTAGATGAAAGCTACTTGGAAATACTACATTTAAGGATGTCTTGAATTCTTTTTATGCAAGTCTGAAGGATGTTTGTTTCTGAGGGAATCTGCAATTATGAGCAACCTCCACCTCAGAGGCAGTGCCACAGGCAACTAAACTTTGAGGGACAGAAAATCTGTCTCTGACACAAAGTAAAGCACTAATTAAATGGAAATCGATTGAATGAGGATCCAAGACCTGATCGCAAATTTCGCCACATTGTGCTTGTTACTCTAAAAATACTTTAGACAGGACACATTCTTAAAATAGTTTGTTTTATTCCAGCACCTCCAGGAAAGTTTAAGTCTCTTTCAACTCTTTCTTATGCTTGGTTCCTGAACCCATAGGCATACTGTCATCAGTAAGCTTTTTTCTTATTTATAATGACAACATGCTACTGTGGTGCTACCTAAAAAGCATTAACAACTTGAAAACTTTTACATTGTAATTATGCCAGTGTTTCAGTGCTCCAGGTCCCCAAGGCTAGCCTCAAGTAGCCACATGCAAGCTGTTTGTTTCAGTCTGCAGTAATGTGTTAGGGCCTAATAAGCACTTTTCTGACTTTTGTGACTAAGGTAAACGTGGCTTAATTCTAGTTACCACCAATTTTACAGTATAATCATCACTATTTTATTTTAAAATACGGGTATTCTGTCAAGTGTTGCTAACCTTCCCCCCGTCGCCCCCCAAACCACTGAGATGAACGGTCTGCTGATTTATGTATTTTATTTAAATGCTTTTAGAGAAGCTGTTATTTTTTCTGATACTTTCCAAATATGAATTTAATCCCATTTTTTTTTAATAAACTGTTAAATTACCTTTGCCATTTTAACAAAATCTTGCTTCAAAATACATTTCGGGTGTTTAAATAAAAACATTTAGTCCTTTCACAAAAACAGCACATCTCAAACTAGTTAATTGCAAAGCTATAAAAAAATGCTTAGGCATGCTATACTTTATTTAAGGGTAGTTAATTTAAGGTGATTAACTAACCCTGAGCATACTATAGTACTACATGACTTTCTCACTCTCCCGGAGTTAGTCAGTCCTTTGAAGTTTTTCTTCAAGGGAAAAAACAAGAAGGTTGAAACACTGCTGCAAGGCACGAAGCAGCCTGATTTATTGCACCAATATCCTTAAATTTACCAGAAATAAAAGTTCTTTCATAATATAAAGCTTTTGTTTGCTGAAGAATCAAACATACCAAATAGTTCTCATCTTGAAAGGCATAGTGCAACGTAGTAATCCACTGACAATCTCCATTCACCAAAACATTTCTCTCTTCTCGGAAACAAGCTGTCTAAAGGAAGAGAGGGGAAAAAGCCATTGTCAACATCTACAAGTAGTTTTCACAGGATGAATATATATGCATGCTTTATGGGATTATTTAAAATTTCAGAACAGAGGTCTCTATTCATTAGAATTCAGTCTACACAAGTGACAAGCCAGGGAATCTCTGCAGGTTTGTACTTACGCATTCAGTCATTCTAATCCTGACTGTGGCCTTAAAAACACCCAAACAACCCACAAAACGATTTCAGACAACACTGAATCTTTGTTCCATAATGTATTTAAAAAGGAACAGAAAAAGTGGTAGCTTGCCACTACAACCTGTGGCAGAATGATAATGGTGCTAGGAGAGCAAGCCTGGCTCTTCTGAACAAGACCTTTGTGAACGTATAGTTTAACGTATACATCTCTTACATTGCAGTTCCAGTCACAGACATTGCCAACACACCGCAAGAAATGGGCAAAAATTACTATTATTGCCCATCTTTGTCCTGTATAACACATTTCCATTTTCAGTAATGTCTTCCCTCTACTTCAAACAGCACGCTGCAACACTTCAGAAACACAGGTTCCATCACAGGTTTTTCCAGTATCTTTACATAAAAACAACTTTAATAAAGTACAAGTGAGTCCTCCTTCATAAAAATACACTTATTTTTTGTTGAATTAAAAAAAAAAGTCAAGATGTAGGCCTTGGGATTCTTTCACTACTCAATTCAGAAAGCCATTGGGATGCTCAGTATTTGCCAATTCAAGTGCTTAAGTTGCAGATAAAAGTTTATTTGTTGTTCCTGTTGGTGCCACTTTTCCAGAAAAAGTACTAAGGAAAGAACATTCCTGGAAAGCTCAAATCTCTCCTACTGGAGAAGACTGTACTGTGGCCAAGATGGAAAGCTAGTAATTATTGGTGCAAAAAAATACAAATTGTAATTAATGTTAACTCAGATGATTTTAAGGTTTACAAATACAAGGCCTAAGTATCACTCTACAAAAAACTGGCAGCAACAGCAGCTTAAAGTAATCCACTCCCCTGCCCTAAGTATCAGAGCACAGCAGTTCTCTGTTGTTTTGGCACCACTATTTGGAGAGACTGCCAACACAAAAAACTAATTTGTTTATTTTTGAAGATGTAAGTTACTTGATCCAGGTTCACCGTGCAACCTCAAATGGTGAGGGAATGTTATGAACACTTTAAACCCAGTAATGCCACCAAACACTCTGCAACACAAATTCACACCATAAAGCTATCCTTTACAGCTTCCACTAGTTAAAAATGCCTTATGAGACATACCTGGAAAAGCATGACAGGCTACACAATTAGCTAATTGAGACTTAGTTTGAACTGTGGTCCATAATACACGTATGGCCACGCATTTTGTTGCCTGAACAATGAACATATATGGTCCACCTTATCAACACACAAAACATACCTATTTTTGCATGCAACGCCCATTAACAGCTGTTAGTTGATGTCTACTAATCTGCCCTATATTTTACTCACTTCAGACAGTATTTTTTTCTTGCAGTTTATACACAAATAAGCAGTTCTTAGATTTACTTTTTGCTATGTTTAATAAGTTATACAATTCTTCATATTTCAATTCACAAACCAAATATAAACCAGTATAACATGCTTCTTGAACCACTGATATAGTGGATGATGAAACATCTGAAGTCTGCTTTTCAGTGGAATGGCCCACTTAAGAGGTTATCGCATGTTTGCAGGTTTCATTTTAAAACTCACAAGATTTACCACAAAGGAAAATTAAAATTTGCCACACGTTTTCTGAACTTGACATTCAGGTTATAAGATCCTGCTCATCCAGGAAAGGTAAGAAGTTGAATCCAGCAAACTAACCACACGGGAAGAGACTCGCGACAAAAGAGTACGGCAGAGAAGGCAGCTTCCCTCACCGTCCCATGGATAAATGAGTAGAAAGATGACTTAACTGGTCTGTCATTTGTCCCAAGAGTGAACTAGAAAAACTATTGCTCATTATAGCTCTTTCTTGGTAGATATCCCTCTTCTACCTCTTGCTTGCCTGACAGTGTAGGAGTTAGTCACATAACGTGAAGATGATATGTCCTAATCATCTCTCTTATCAAGACATCTCCATGCGAAAGTTACAGCCATTCAGTGAAGCCATTTAATCAAATCACTTTAGAAAATGACTGAAGTAAGCCAGCACAGTCGTATCTTTACTACAATTTCAAAACCTCCTAAAGGCAATTCAATTTAAACGAATTCTGTACTGATTAGTGAATTAATCTGACTGAAAACTGTGTAAAAATGGCACTGAATTTCCCTACATAGGCAAAGTCTTAATACAGAACCAGTGGTGCAGCACAGCCAAGAGCGTGAATCCTCCTGACAGCTCAAAGAACAGCGGAGTAGCAGTGGCTGCCTCTGCTTGTAAAGAAGAGTAAGGACTGATGGACAGAGTGCGACTAAATCAGGCAAATGCAGTGGTGAAGAGGGGCTTAGCAAGAGGCAAGAAATTCATTCATGGGAAAAGAGGTGGAACGGAGGTATTGAAAGGGAAGGGAGAAACTAGAGAGGGTGGGGGGGAGGTGTCAGGAAGGAGAAAAGAGTAGGACAGAGAGGAGTCATAAGCTTAGTTTGCAACAAGACATTAGCCTGTGACTCTTACTACAACTGCTACAAGTATTAATGCAGTACGTGTATCTTCCCCTCAAGCCTGTTGCTCATTTAACTCTTGATTTTTGTAATAATCAGTTTGCCATGACTTAGGTTTTTCTAAGTGCAAGAGGAAGTATTCTAGGAATATGAAACTTATCATGACATATTCTCAGTGGGTTGTTTAAAAGCTGCCTTTCCTAATTTGTGAAGTCCCCATTACACATTTACAGAACATGTCCTTTAAAAAAAACTTTAAAAAAAAAAAAAAAAAACAAACCAGACTTACCTTCTTAACTCATTTTGTTTTACGATCTGAACCTGTGGTTCTACAGTGCTTAGTTACAGTTTTACCAGTTATATAAAACCTGTTACACACTGTAGGGTGCAAAACTCCTTAATACATGCTTTCTGAATGCACGAGAAAAAAAGATCTTTTTATAATGTTGTTGTATGCAGCTGTGAATGTCATAGTAGCACCAATCTCAGCTTTCATGTAGTCTTTAACTTGCCTTTACTGTAAACAAAAATCTAGCCAATAAATTCAGGGTAAGAACTAGGGCAGACTGTCTGGTAAACGAATACACAGTAATGCTGAGAACAACAGATGCCTGGAAGGGACTGTCAGACTTGATTGCATTAAAACAGCTTAAGGAAAAAAAGGAAAAAAAGAAGGAAGGTCCTGTGTTTATGAAATAATTCTTCTTAATCTAGAAGAGCTTCAGTGTAGTATTTTCCCAATATCACTTTAAAAAATTCTCTGCATTAGGAGAGTCATATTACTTACCTCTGCCCTTTTAAGCATTTCCCACTTATTTAGAATTTTCATCGCATAAATGCGTTCTGTACACTTCATTTTAACAACTGCAACCTGAAATAATAAGATATCTGTGTTTAACAAAAGCATGGTCAGAGAAATGTAGCATTTTAACAGCTGAATATTCAGACAGTATTAATAAAAATCGGTCACTAAGCAGTCATCAGCAGTCATCTTACATATTGATTAATTACAACTCAATTCTTTGCTCCTTCTACCTTGCTCCTCCACTACTACCGGGTACTGGATGCACAACACGCCACGTGTGGTCAACTGTTCATGAGCAAGTACATGGGGGCTGACACAGGAAGAGTATGAAGCTTTTCATATGAAGATGTGTAGTAAAGCTGCATTTTTCGCCAAGAACAAGCAACGTTTGTACGCCGTGGCTTCAACCAACGAGGGAACGTTTAAAAGGGCAGCCGTAGAAAACAAGTAAGGCTGCTGTCAATAGAAACTCACCATAATTTACTAATTTGTTTTACGTTTCAGGTTTCAGAAGCTTGAAAGATATTTTCAAATTAAGGTCCTTTTGTGTACTGCAGGCAGATAGTTAAACAAAAGCAGAAACAGTATTCATTTACTTACTCACCATTTTGCTTGAAGCATTTTACCATGCATCCTGCATATTAGACTTACTTAAATCGGTCTGTTACAAACAGTAGCTGTGCATATAGATGTACAGTAGAAGAAAAACAGAAGAATACAGGAATTTCAGGGCTTAGAATAGTTATACAGGAATGCAAAGACTATATTTTGACACCTAGGCTTGCATTTTCTGAGACCAAAACTAATTCTTCTTGTACTAAAGCAATCATTTCCACAAACTTCTAACTTACATTAGGATTCTTACAGTTCACACAGAAAACTGGGAATCATAACCAGGACAGCAACATCTTCACCAGACTATACACAGACTGCTTGAATACTTCTGCTGATACGGCACTTGTTTCTATTCAGAAGTATAAAACTGACCAATGTCATCAGCTTTCATTGCTTCTAGCAGTGCTCTGCATAGCAGTGGGAAAAATAAGGAATTGCATCATGCTCACCTCTTTTGTTACTCAAAAACCCTTATCATCTATAGAGGATTCAGAAGACATAGCAATTCTAAGATGATGCTGACTAGAGAACTAGGTTGGGATTAGAGCGTCAAGCAGAGCAACACAACGCAAAGTCAGAAGTCCAGAGGAGGCAAGAGAGGAACATAAAACCACTTTGCACCTTGCAAATAAGGACGTTCCAGATGGGGGACAGAGGGAAGACTGCTTCCTCCAGCAACACAAGAATGGGACCCTCAACTTCAGATACTTCACTCTGCAGGCTTACACCTAAGCCCCCCACCATTCATTGCATGAAGCTCCACTCACCAGGTCACATAGTAGATGATCTACACCCAGTAAACTGCCTGCATAGAGTCATGTAATGGAAGAGTGTCTTAGGAAAAGGACCAGTAGGTATCTACCACAGGAAAAAGATGGGAATTTGGCTCTAAATGAAGCTGGGGGTGGGGGGGACCACAGTGTACAGAAGGATTCTTCTTAACACTAAGCAGAACATCCACAACTACGTTACATCTCAGTCTCTCCTAGTAATGAACATCTCCCCCATAGACACCACTCACGCTGTGGGGGGAGAATGAGTAAACTGAGGAAGTCTCAGCTGAACATCTGAGGTTCTTTGCGCACATATGAAACTGCTGGACACTGACCTTCAGTAACAGTTTAAAACTGTCAACTTTTCTCCTAGCCTTGTCATGACCTTATAGTTAAAACCTATTGTAAAAATCTCTCCTTGCATACTGTCTTAATTGAATCATTTGCCTGGTACAACTGAAAGTACAATATAAGTTAAACTGTGCATTAAAAAGTCTGTAAAACTCCAAGATGCTGGCATTACCCTCTATGCGTTTTAAATTTTACTTCATACAGAACATGATCATCCAGGAAATGCCCTTATTTCCACTCATGGAAGAGATCTGAAGGGAAAACAACTGCGTCCTGTCTTGATCTCATCCACCAATCCAGTCTAACCACTTAGCAACTTTTAATTTTGGGGGGGGGGGGGGGGAGTATCAGCAAACTCAGTACTATTATAGCCAAGAATTTTGTAACAACATTGATTAAGAAGTTGCAGAAATGTTTTATAAAACAAAGGAAGTATTTACTCAGGTTAGCTTTCTTTTAGTTTGCTCATCAAGGGGCAATATTTCTAATTTTACATTCCTCATACAATGTTGTGGCTGCTTCAGAGATACTGTAAGATTTATATTTGTTTAATCTTATTTTAATATTAATTTCTCTTTCTCTGGCATACCTAAAATTTGATTAAAAAACAAACTGATCGCTTTTTAAGAGCAAACAAAAACCTCTTATACTACAACTGTGGCAAAAAAAAAATCGAATTTTAAAGAAACCTAGCATCTCTACTAACATAAGAAATGTATCGAGTTGGTGTTCAAAGGTCCTCCAAAGGCAACAGGTTTGTATGTTACTACAAATGCTCACGTCATGGAGAAGATCAATAGAGAACAATTACTTGCTGTTTCCCACAACACAGAAATTGAAGAACATCTAACGAAGCAAAAAAGTAGCAAGTTTAAAGAAAGTATTCCTCCCCCCCCCACAACTTTAGAAGTCTGCCACAAGTTGCTGTGGACACTTAAGTAAGCCTTCAGAAAGTAGTTAAGTACACGCTTAATACCCGCGTAATACACACAGCAGGTGCCTCAGAGGCGACTGAACACTGAACTACAAATGTGGTTAGGGGTCTCTAAGCCCTTGGTCCCTGGAAGCTGGGAAAGTACAACTCGGCTCTGTTCTTGGATTCTCTTCCCACACATCTCTACCTGGCCAAAGGGATAGGCTAGTGGCTAACTCATCCAAGTACCTTTGACACGTGCACCCAAAACGACTGTTCTGGGTCAAATTAATACACAAAGCTTATCTAGTTTACATCTCATTATCTAGCTTGGAATGGAAAAATCAGGATTTCTAAATACTGAGCAATATTGGAGCGGTTTGGTAGAGAGATTCAGGTGATTGTGCTTTACCGAGGAAGTCTTAAAACTCCAATGAGGAAAATCCGCAGACAGCAGGTCATCTTTGTTCTCCCGCAACCCTCATTCCAAGCAAGTCTGTATGGGTATATGCTGTCACCAGCTGATTCGATTACCATTGTTGTAACTCTTCGCGCCCTCAAGATTCACAGCGACAAAGACATTGCAATAATGATACTTCCTTGAGGACAGCAGAAAGCCTAATGAATCCCAGGGCCTACACTTTAACCAACCTGAGCCATATTTATGTCAAGATATGTGAGAATAGGTGTTAAAGCATAAGTGAGAACCAACTGTGGTACTACATGCCACAACACCCTGTCAAATTTTTATTACTTCTGCCGCCCGTTTCCTTACAATATTTTTTGCCTCAAAGCTTCACTTGCACTGCAATAAAATAAAGATTGAAACAATACAGCTAAAACAACTTTTTAGACTTTGGCAACAGCTAATGTTTCGCCTCTCGAATTGTTTTATGAAAGTTTTTTGCTGCAGTTTCATCTTAAAAAGTCATTTGATATTGACACTTAGGACTGCAATGTGCAAAGCTATCTTAGGCCAAGTTCCACCTTTTCTTATGCCCCAGTAAAATTTACAGGGCATGAATCTGAGCCAAATCAGGTTCAACAAACATGACAGAACTTCCTTCTGCTGCACTCTGCCCCGTTGAGTGGTGTGACCAACAAGCAAAAATCAAGTCACTTTTTTAATAATGTAAAACATAAACCTAGTGTAAGAAAGTGCAAAAAATATTTAAATGAAAGACAGGGTTTCCAGAAAGCAATGAACATCAATAACAAGAAGACTTCCTGCTAGGAATCTTATGAATTATTTGATGTTCAACTTACTGGAAACCACGTCAGGACTAATTTCAATGCAATTTGAAAAAGTTACGTACCACTCTATTTATACTCACACCATGTTAAGCTTCCAGAGAAAGTTTGTCCTCAAGCACTGGACTTCCAGAAATAAGGTGAAACTCAAATAAAAAAACAAAGTTGTCTGCTGAAAAGGAGATAATGGACCGAGACATATAGTTGGTAATCCTCATGCAATCAGTTAAATAATAATAGGTCAAAAAAAGGCAAATATGATTCTGGAATTCATAGGCACACCAGCAGGGACAGGTAAACATTACTGCCTTGTAGAAATATAACTTCACTGGGTACACTACACACTTACAGCCTCATCTGAGAGACATAAGCTCAATATGGAGTAGGTAGAAAGGAGGTTTATTTAGATGATCAAGGAACTAAAGAGCATCTCAGATGAAAGGGAAAATAGAACTCTGCTTGTTCAAAATAGAAAAAAAATAAAAATGAGAAGTAGCTATGAATGCTAACTACAAATAAAATAGGAAGGAAGGACAACAGCAATAAGGATGGAAAAAGATCTGTTTAGGTTGATGGACAACGAA